GAAGATCGTGAGCGGGAGGCAGGGTGGAGGGAAGACCATACCTGGGACAAGGCAGGTCGTGACTCCAGGGGAAAAAACTAATCGGAGTAAAAATAAAGGTAGAAGTTGTGACCGACTCGCTATTTTAGCACAACACAAAAAAAAATTCAGCCACAGACCGGCTAGGTACGGTGGCCCCTGTCACGGTTCCAGTCCTGACTGTGGGTAACTACGTGGCCGCCCCCTCTTCTCACACATACACCAGTGTCCCCCCTTACTTACCTTCTCTCTCCCTCTTTACTCATCCCCGTTCGCTCGTGGCCACTATATCTGCCCCCAGCCCCTTTTCTACTTCATTTTTTCCACTCTCTCCAACACCCTCTTACACTTCAAGGCGGAGGTACCCAAAAGTAGAAATAGCAACGAGCACCGCCACCCATAGAATCAAGGAAGGGTCCTCAATCTGTCAACCCTTGCTACGTCCGGACCTGGTGAGTTTCCCCGTGTTACAGCGGCCGTTATCCACTATTCCTAAAACCAGCCAGGGCTGCACAACGTCACGGCTGCTGGTTCAGTTACAAGCCACCCCGTAGTGGCAGCAACAGTCAAGCCAGCTGGTCACAGCCACAGTCTGCCCAAAGGTTCATCAGCAGCTTACTTTAGATGGTAAACAACAGTCAGTTTCCTCAAGGTAATTAGTACCCAGACGCCTGGTCACCACACCGGTGCTTAGAGGTGCCAATTCAAAAATCCGTCGCAACTCCTCCGTCTCAGCTGCCAGCATCTTGAAGTCGACACCAGCCAACCGAATTGACGGCCGCAGTCTCCACAATAGGCAACCAGCAACATTCTTCCTGTCAGGGTACGCAGCCGCCGTCCTTCTTGTTCCTCGCTTCCTCCCTCTCCGGATGTACTGATGCACTCGGTTCTTAACGCAACCAACCTCACCCAGAATCGGGGAAGAGCTAGATCGTGGGGCAAGGACCCTGAATGGCAGCCACAAAGGCGGCTCCCATGATGACGCTGATGAGTACAATAACGGTCATGCTGGCCAGTGTGAAAACGGCCGGCATGATTACGATGGCAAGCATACAACATCAACGTCTCTCCCACCTTTTTCTCTGCAGTCCTTTGCTTATGTGAATGCACCTGGCCTTGAGCATGGCCAGGTTCAATGAACTGTCAGCAGGTTTGGGGTGCCGGCCCACAATCAACATCTCCAAAATGTCCCCAGTGAGTATGGATGGGTAGATACACCACCCTCCAATGCCTCCATACACCGGGTCAGCACAGCTTGGCGTCGTAACTCGACTTCTGGTCCATCCCACATAACCAGTTCTGTTCACCAGAGTTGGTTTACCCGGAGCTGGTCAGTACGCAGCTCAACATTCGGCTCTTTTGAGGTAAGCTCCCTCTTCTTCTTTCACTCTCTCTCTCTCTCTCTCTCTCTCTCTCTCTCTCTCTCTCTCTCTCTCTCTCTAATAGGATGAGAAAGTAGGAATGAATCTTCCGTTGGATCACGGAAAGGTGCAAATGCTACTTCTACGCCCGAATCCGGGCAAATATGAAAATGAACCTCCTCCTAGAACATGGTCAGGTGCTCGACCGCTGGACGCTCCACCCTCGCAAGGTAAGTGTTTCTTGACAGCCACTGCGCCCTTCTTGTCGCTCTCCGGATTCCCTCTCACCATGGCCGCGCAGCCTATACCACAGATACTGCTTAATCCGTTCATCCTACGTGAGATCTAACCCCCCCATCAGCCTTGCCTTGCCTCGAAACCCTGGAATCGAATCCTCACTCGCCTATTTCCCTCAAGAAATGGGCGAGTTACATGAGTTTCAGTTTTTTACCCCACCACTCTTATCGCCATCTCAGCGCCCGTCTTTTCTCATCTAACTCATCTCCTACCTAACTAACACCCAAACGACCACTACCACTATGCTCGCCCGGTCCAAAAACCCGGGTCTACTCTCCCCCTGTTTGTTTTCGCCAGAGCACGAGSGGGGTATAGCAKTTTMCYCCCGCCATAACCCTCATTTGTCTCGCTGCCTTCTCCTCCCTTGCCTTTAGCTGTACCTGACACTAAATCGTGCCCAGGTGCATCTGCCTCCCTACCAACCAGCGAACCATGGGACGTACTTCACTGTCACCACGCTGCTATCCCCAACACCACCACCTCTAGCCCACTATCCCATAGTGGCACACCATCCTTCTACTTTGATGTACCTGGGCCGGACCCCAACCAGGTTCGTGCTACTTCTTCCCACCGTTCTGCTGCCTCTACCTCTCCCCCTCTGCAGATGGCGTGCTTTGTTCTGTCGCCAATAGCACTGCCCCACCCCAGCCATGGCGGTCAGAGGGGCACGAGGAAAATGCCCTACGTATGCGCCCACCAGCATAGCGCAGCGGGGAGCGACGTGCTCTCCACCGAATTCGTCATGAGAATACAACCAGCCGGAACCCCTTCGTCGTCGGCCCTCAGCCTTTTCTACTCGAACTCTCTCAGCAGTTCCCCTTCTAGCCTATCTGTCCATCCATACTGCCAAATCTACGGCCAGTCTTCCAAGTCCCCCCCTACATGCACCTAGATGGGAACCTCTACAAAGGGAGAGAGAAAAAAAAAGGGGAGAAAATGGAAAATAATAAAAACAGAAACAAACAAACCCATGGACCTACCTAATTCCAATAAAAAGCGGAAGAAGAAAAAGAGAAACAAAACAAAAACAGTCGGTCTGAAATACAGAAAACAGGCCCAGCCTGTCAAGTAAGGGCCACCAGCCTACCAACCATGGTCTGAGGATCAGGCCCGGTGACCCAACCTGGTGGGGTAAGAATACAAATTCTTGACCCCAGAATCGACTCCCGCCAGGTCCAAACCAAAGAGAGGCAGCAGACATGGTTGGGTACATCCCCTCATCAGCATGCCGCGGGCCATGCTAATCTGCTCTGTATCGTTCCAATTTTAACGGATGTCCCGAAGGACTGTTCCCTGATAGCGGTAGCCCCGCAGTAGCCCAGCAGTTCATGGGTGTCTCCACTGAACGATGCCCTTGGGGCTTTCTGCAGGCCCCGACGCTGGTACAAGACCTCATTCTCAGATAACAACAACAATAGGAAAATGAAGAAAGTAAAAAAAATAAAAATAAAATATATAAAAAAAAGTCAAACTCAGAAAAATAAAAAAGGGGTAAAACCCGGATGCGGGAGAGGACCGTTGGTACCCGGGCCTCGACCTCACCTCTCGGGCCCGCGGTCGGAACCCCCCGCAAAAACCAAGGGGGATAGTCCCGCGGGACCCTCAACCCCTCAGCCTTCTCCTTCGACATGCTCCGCTACCCCGCCGCTTTGCTCTGGCCTTAATCCCAGGATCCACTTGCTGGTAATCTAATGACATAACCTATAGGGCTAAGCCCCAGCCTGGCACAGCTGCAAGCCAGGTTCACTATGAAGAGTGGCGCCCATTAGGTCGGCCTGCAGCAGAGTATCATAGGCCATCGGTTCGATTTATTGCTGGCGCCTCAGGCCACGCAATGCCGTGCTGGCTGCCTCGGGGCTAGGCTCCGCTTGGCTCGCTATGTCCATCGCCCCTTCATGCCGCGGTCGCGACCCGAGGCTCTCATAGCCCGCCGTGACCAGCCCTCTTTTCGCCGCTCACCGACAACCCCCGGACTTTCACTCTAGGTCGTGCCGCTCCCAGCGGCGGCTCATACTATAGACTAGGCATGGTCATCCTAGTGCCCACGAGTATCCCACACGRCGCCGTTTYGCACGTCGGCCTCTACTAAGTCAGACAACACCCTCCTCTAGTCACCGCCCCACCTGGTCAAGGCGACGCCGTCCTTACTTTAGCCCGTGCGTGCGAGGCTGCGACCGCCTCAGAAGCTCTAGCCTAGCACTAGCTTTCTCTACCGGTGCCTTACGGCCCGTCCTCGATCCGGATTAGGTCGGGCTAACGCGTGCCCACGAGTGCACGCCCACACACTCTCTAATCAATACAAATGGGACACGCCCCTAGATATCGCCAGAGGCGTTCTTCCTGCGAGCTGCAAAAACGTGCCCAAATACCCTTGTAAGGGTATTCGGGCCGACAGCGCTGCTCGGGAAACTTCGCAAGCTGTCAACGCAGGCCAGGCCCCAGTGACTTATACCGTCACCGGCCAAGGCAGTGGTACCAGTCGGGCTGGCGAGACAGTTCTTCAGCCTGGGTGAGTGTCACATCAACTGTTGCTCTCCTTGCGTCGATTTAGGTGGTTGCCTTGTCTGCCGTGGATGTCTGAGACTTGACGTGATGGTTGAAGTTGTTTCTCACCAAGATCTTAGATAATGGCAGTGAATGGTTGCGATAGAGGTGCCGGCTGCAATTGTCGGGTACCAGTACCATAGACCCACGATTGACCAGCGGGCAAAAAGTGGGCTGTTGAAATTGTTTCCAATTGCGGTCGCTATCGTAGGCATAATGCTGCGTCGCACCCTTGAAGGACAACCCTGTAGTTTTCCCTCTTTGCGTCACTACTTAGGGCCAGATCCCACCAGCCCCTATTGTTCATTTCTAACCGTTGATCTTCGTAATGGAGGGTGAAAAATGAATAATCCAGGGTAGTGGGATCTGACCCTTAGCCATGTGTCCCCCTTAGCCATGTGTCCCCCACTACTTGGCGTCAGGATAAGCTGCCGTGGTCGCTGGTGAATTCTGAACCGTCTAGATCCATCATCTCCACGGCTGACAATCAGGCCCTCGCTCCACTACTGTGGTCATGTGGAAAACTAGAGTGAATCAATCTTCCGCTAGAACATGGAAAGATACACCAGCCGCGCGCGGGAACTTATCTTTTTACTACGTGGACCACAGCACACGGCGGCTCGTCCCGCCTGGTCGCTTTTGGTGTCCATTCCATTTCCCAACTTTTTTTTTCACTTTTATTTTTTCCCTTTTTTTCGAATGGGGAGTCGGCCGCAGTGGGTTGTTGTCGCTTGCACCCTCTTGCTCGTGTTACGGCAGCGGGCCAGACAGGCAACGGCGGTGTTCCCCTGTTTGTAATTGGCACACGTGTCACGGCTCATCCTGCTAGCGAGCGGTAGGAGTGGCAACGACTCACCTTTGTCGAATTCACACATTGCGGTCTTCTTCGGCGAAGTGGCTCCTAGCCGTTCCACGTGTAAGCTCCTCCCTCTCTCTCTCTCTACCTTGTACCCTCCTCCCCCCTCCCGCTCCCTCTGTCCTGATTTCTTTCCGTCATGCTTCTTCTTGCCTTTCCTCTTCTCCTCCTCTTCCTCCTCCCCGTCCCCCTCCTGCTGGTCTTCTTTGTCCTGCTCCTCCTCCCCATCCTCCATCTGTCCTCCTCTCCTTATCGGCCTCCTCCTGTCTCTCCTCCGACCATTCTGGTCCTGCCCGTTTCTCAGCCGCCCGCGTTGGGGCCTCGTTGCTGCTCCTCTTCCTTACCGCTCGCCGTTGTCCTTCTTGTGCCCTCGTCCGCTTTCTCCCTCCCCCCTCCTCCTCCTTCTCCTGCTGCTGCTTCTTCGTTTGCGCTTAAGTTTTCATCTCCTCGTTCTCGATGTCTGTCGGTCTCTGAAGAAATAGCAGCAGGAGGAGGAGGAAGAATGACGTGTAGTGAAGAGCAATGGCCACGCCTGATGAAGGTTGGGGGGGGAGAATTGGATGCCAAGTACAGGAGACATGGAGAGGAGGGTAAAGTATGTTTGAGAGAGAGAGAGAGAGAGAGAGAGAGAGAGAGAGAGAGAGAGAGAGAGAGAGAGAGAGAGAGAGAGAGAGAGAGAGAGAGAGAGTAGCTATCTCTTGAGAGAAGAAAGATCGGCATGAAATTTTTCTAAACACTGTAGTTCCATAAATACCTCATCTAGGTGAGGGGTGAATATGTTGGAGGAGGAGAGGAGGAGGGGGGAGGAGAAGAGGAAGAGAGTGGGACGCCGCGCGCTTCGTTTGTGCGGGTCTGGAGGCGCCGCACAGTCAGCGACAGTGGTTGGCCCTACCTATGCAAACGGTAGTGGGCTTTGTCGCCCATGAGGGGTATGGGCATTTGCAATGTATATCCGTCCTCTTCGACTGCTCGGCGTCGGGCTCGATCCGTTGACCTGTTCCATCTGTTGCACCTCTCTTCTATTATCATCCACTCTGTCTACTCCGCGTTGTTCTGGAAGAGTTGGTTACCATAGTCGTCCTACTCGTATGCTCACTTCCCCTGCCTTCCCTTCCTCCTCCCTCTCCTCTTCCTCTCCCTTCCCGTCCTCCTCCACCTTCTCCTCCTCCTTGGCCTTTCATCCTCCCTCGTGATTCCTCCCTCTCCTCTTCCTCTCCCCTCCCGTCCTCCTCCCTCTTCTCCTCCTCCCCTTGGCCTTTCATCCTCCCTCGTGATTCCGCTCGAAACCAGTATCGCCCTCATCCTTCTCGTTCTGCCTTCGATCTCCTTGTCCTCGCGTTCGCTTCTTCCTCCTCCTCTTCTCTCTCCTTCTCTCTCCTTCTCTCCCCTTCTCTCTCTTTCTCTCTCCATCTCTCTCCATCTCTCCTTCTCTCTCCTTCTCTCTCCTTCTCTCTCCTTCTCTCTCCAAGTCTTTTCTCTCTCTGCGTGCCATCCGTGCATCCCTTTCTACGACTCCGTGTCATTGCAAGAAAAAGGTCTCATTGTAAAAAAAAGGTGTCATTGCGAAACAAAAGGGGATTAAGGGCGAAGGAAACAGCGTGATGATGATAAAGGGAATGGACCCTTCCCCAAGCTATGGGGAAGGCTGACAATGCAAGGCTGACAATGCAAGGCTGACAATGCAAGGCCGACAATGCAAGGCCGACAATGCATGGGTATAGTTGGGGCGGAGGGTTGGACTTTGTCATTGACTTCACTGCCCATGCGCAGGCCGATGAAGAGGAAGAGGGAAAAGAAGAGGAGAACAGGAGGTCTTGAGGGAGAGGACCGGAGGCAGAAGGTTGATGATGATGATGGTGATATTACGTACTGCATAGAAAGCAAAGATTATGATGTTTTCTTTTATTACTGAGAGTTGTAAATGGGGTTTTCTATGGCGAGCTTTGAGAAGCATGTACTCAACGCAGTTGGGCCGCTGTTTGTCACTGTTACACAATTCAGAACTGGAACAAGTGACATGTGCATATGGAGCCAGGGCCTTAAGGACCTGTTTTTGGTCCATTGAGAAAGAAAGTAAAATTTTGGACGTGTGGCTCAGTATGTGCGTACCATTCAGCCACAAACTGCTGGTTGGAAAATGTGTTAAAACCCTTTCGTTTTGTAGACCCTTTTTTTT